TGACAAAGGCCAAAAATGGTCCAAAATCATTCAAATTGGCCATTGGGCGGGTTTCCCAGACTCGAAATTCATATCGGGTTTTCAATATCTGGGATTGGGGGGACTGTGGGACAGCAAGATCCCAAATCGAGTTTAGAAATCTTTGAGGTTGGGAATGGTTCCTGGGGGAAGGGGGGCTTTACCCGCCAAAACCCTAAACCCTAACCCTAAACCCTGAAACCCTAAAACCCTAAAACCCTAAAACCCTAAAACCCTAAAACCCTAAAACCCTAAAACCCTAAAACCCTAAAACCCTAAAACCCTAAAACCCCTAAAACCCCTAAAACCCCTAAAACCCCTAAAACCCCTAAAACCCCTAAAACCCCTAAAACCTCTAAAACCTAAAACCCTAAAACCCTAAAACCCTAAAACCCTAAAACCCTAAAACCCTAAAACCCTAAACCCCTAAAACCCTAAAACCCTAAAACCCTAAAACCCTAAAACCCTAAAACCCTAAAAACCCTAAAAACCCTAAAACCCTAAAACCCTAAACCCTAAACCCTAAACCCTAAACCCTAAACCCTAAACCCTAAACCCTAAACCCTAAACCCTAAACCCTAAACCCTAAACCCTAAACCCTACACGGCCTCCGGCTCTCCTCCTTCTTGGCCGCCTTCTCCGCCTTCCTCAGCTGCCGCTCCGCCTCCTGCGCCCAGAAGCACTTCTTGAAGGTTCAGGGTACTTGTTAACCAATTATAACTGTTAGGGTTTAGGGTTTAGGGTTTAGGGTTTAGGGTTTAGGGTTTAGGGTTTAGGGTTTAGGGTTTAGGGTTTAGGGTTTAGGGTTTAGGGTTTAGGGTTTAGGGTTTAGGGCTTCGGGTTTAGGGGTTTAGGGTTTAGGGTTTAGGGTTTAGGGTTTAGGGTTTAGGGTTTAGGGTTTAGGGTTTAGGGTTTAGGGTTTAGGGTTTAGGGTTTAGGGTTTAGGGTTTAGGGTTTAGGGTTTAGGGCTTCGGGTTTAGGATTTAGGATTTAGGGTTTACTGTACTTATGACCATATTAGGGCACTTAAGGGGCTTATAGGTGGGTTAGAAGTACGGTTATAACTTCTAAGTTGAACTCAGGTCTTGAGAGGCCCCAGGCTAAAGTGAAGAAGCCCTGAGGTTAAGGGATTAGGGCTTAGGTTTTCGGGTTTAGGGTTTGGGGTTTAGGGTTTAAGGTTAAGGGTTTAAGGTTTAGGGTTTGGGGTTTGGGGTTTGGGGTTTGGGGTTTGGGGGTTTCCCCTCAAAGCCCCAAGCGGCAAAGAACTGGAAACCCCATACTCCGCGAAGCCCTACCGAGAGAGCAGAAATCGGGAATATACTTCAAAGCATGGACTAAACCCCAAACGCTAGTTACTCCCTAAACCCTGAACCTGAACCCGGAGCCCTCAACCCTGAACCCTACACCCTAAACCCTAAACCCTAAACCCTACACCCTAAACCCGCCCGAAGCTCCAGAATCACTGCACCACGGAAGCCGCCGCTCGACCCGCGAAGCCATAAAACTCCGGAAGCTGCAGGTGCCCCTATAATTTCAAACCCAAACATTTTGAGCGTTGGGGTTTAGGGTTTAGGGTTTAGGGTTTCGGGTTTAGGGTTTAGGGTTTAGGGTTTAGGGTTTAGGGCTTAGGGTTTCGGGTTTCGGGTTTCGGGTTTAGGGTTTAGGGTTTAGGGTTTAGGGTTGGAAAATCCTGAACCCATTCCCTCCACACCCTCACATCCTCCAAACCTCGAAAACCTTCAAGCAAGGCAGAACTTGAACCTGACGCCCAAACCCTAAACCCTAAGCCTAAACCCTAAACCCTAAACCCTAAACCAAAAACCCCAAACCCCAAACCCTACACCCTAAACCCCAACGCCCCCTGTGCCAAAGCGCCCCACACAGAGCCCAAGTCGTTTCGGACACCGGCGCCTCGGCGTCGTAGCTCGGAAAGCCATTGCGGTCCAGGCACATGGGTGGCATGCCCCAAGGAGGCATGGCCTTATGGATCGCCGGCTTGGGTATTAGGGTTTAGGGTTTGGGGTTTGGGGCTTAGGGTTTAGGGTTTAGGGTTTAGGGTTTCGGGTCTAGGGTTTAGGGTTTAGGGTTTAGGGTCTAGGGTCTAGGGTCTAGGGTTTAGGGCCTCTCCAGGGTTGATTTGGGGGCGTAAGGCGGAAAGGGACCAAGCCCCGGGTGCCAGGAAGGTGAAACCGAGGCAGGCATAAAATCTGAGCTTGAAGGGTGCAACACGGGAGCCTGAGGGTCTAGGGTTTAGGGTTTGGGGTCTGGGGTTTGGGGTTTAGGGTTTAGGGTTTAGGGTTTAGGGTTTAGGGTTTGGGGTCTGGGGTTTAGGGTTTAGGGTTTAGGGTTTAGGGTTTAGGGTTTAGGGTTTAGGGTTTAGGGTTTAGGGCTTAGGGCTCCCGAACAAGGAGAAGAACTGCTCCGCATCCTCGAAACACTCGGGCCAGGGTGGCTCCCGTTCCGCGGTGAGTTCGGCACCTGGGCCCTTACGGGGTGGTCTGATACCAAAACCTTAAAACTTGAAAGGGTTTAGGGTTTAGGGTTTAGGGTTTAGGGTTTAGGGTTTAGGGTTTAGGGTTAACCACTAAACTCTAAAAACCCTAAAAACCCTTAACCGCAAGGTCCCAAGCCAGAAAATCCTATACCCTAGAACGCTTGATCCCAAAACTCCTATACCCTGAGAAACTCAAGCCCCGAGTTCATGATCCCGAACTGACACTGGAAGCCCGGAACCCTAAAACCCTAATTAAATTTAAAACCCTAAAACCCTAAACCCTAAACCCTAAACCCTAAACCCTAAACTAAAACCCTAAAACCCTAAACCCCCAAACTCCAAAACCCTAAAACCCCAAAACCCCAAAACCCAAAAGTCACAAAACCCTAAACCCTAAAACCCTAGAACCCCAAAACCCTAAGAACCCCAAAACCCTGGAACCCCAAGAACCCTAGAACCCTTGAACCCTAGAACCCTGGAACCCTAGAACCCTAGAACCCTCAACCTAAACCCTAAACCCTAGGCCCTAATCCCTAAACCCTAAACCCTAAACCCAGAATGCAAATCCTCCAGCCCGGGATGTTAAGCCGCTCACCCACGGCGGCGGCATCATCGGCGGCATACCTGCGCAGGGCTTACGATTTAGGGTGTAGGGTTTTTAGGGTTTAGGGTTTGGGGTTTAGGGTTTCGGGTTTAGGATTTGGCGCTTTAGGAGTTTGGGGCCAAGGGATTTGGGGTGCACAGGCCATCCATCGAAAGCCTCGAAGACCAGAAGCAAGCTCCCACGCGCCTGAGACTGGCGGCATGAAAGCCCCGGGCCAGCCTCGGGAGCTTTAGGGTTTAGGGTTTAGGATTTAGGGTTCAGGGTTCATGGTTTAGGGTTTAGGGTTTAGGGTTTAGGGTTTAGGGATTAGGGTTTCGGGCCCAGGGTGGCTTGGGGGTTTTGGGGTTGCGGCTTTGAGGCTTGCTGGGGTGCACGCTCTTGCTTCTGACCTGCATTGCCGGCTGAGACTTCTAGAGGGGTGAAGAAGTGCCTTTTGGGTTTAGGGTTTATGATGTAGGTTTTAGGGTTTAGGATTCAGGTTTTAGGTTTTAGGTTTTTAGGGTTTTAGGGTTCTAGGGTTCTAGGGTTCTAGGGTTCTAGGGTTCTAGGGTTCTAGGGTTCTAGGGTTCTAGGGTTCTTGGGGTTCTTGGGGTTCTTGGGGTTCTAGGGTTTTGGGGTTCTAGGGTTTAGGGGCCCCAAAAAACTTAAAAGCAAGCGGCGGGCAACCTTCGGAAAGCTTCGAAAAAGCCTCGGTAGTGCTATGGAGTCTTGGGGACTGATATGTTACCTACCAGCCTACCCCCCCCCCTCCTCCCTTAACAAAAAACAAAAGGATGCTCTCAGTAGGGCTTAGGGTTGAAGAGGGTCTAGAGAGTCAACACTTTTGGGGGTGCTTCTCGGGCTGGGGCTTCGTTCTGGCAAACGTCCCCTGAAGCCCTAAGCCCTAAACCCTAAACCCTAAACCCTAAGCCCTAAACCACCCTCACTGTCATTGCGCTGGGCTCCCTGCCTGCAGCCTGCCAGCGTAACGTGGCACCCCTAAACCCTATGCCCCAAGCCCTAGACACTGAAGCCCCAAAACCCGAAACCTCAAAGGCCCAAACCCTAAGCCGCAGAAGCCGTACACGGCCTTCAACAAAGGAAGCAAAAACCCAGCCCGAAAGTCACCGAAAACCATACATGGGCAGGAAGAACCGCAGGGTGTGTTTGGGGCTTTGGGCTTTAAGGTTCAGGATTTCTCCAGCCGCAATTTGCCTGCGGGCTACCTTTCACCATGTTTCACCGTGCTTAGATCTCTTACGGTGCAAGTCTTCGGACTGAACTGCTCATCCCTAGATCTAGGTGTTAAGACCGGATCCAAGGGACTTAGATGCTCTGCCGGGTATTGGTGTAGGCCCTGGCTCTAAGGAAGACTACAAGGACCTCGTCCTCTACTCCGTCCCCGTTGGGTATGGGGAAGGGCGACCTGCGTGCGCTCAACACCAGGACCGGGGTACCCAGCTCCGGGTTTTGCCGCCGCAGCACTGCCAACCATCTCATGCTGAAACCGGCATGCGGCTTAGGGGACTTAGTGGCTGCGATGAGTCTGCCAACATCGTCAGAAATCTAGTGACTGCAATCTTGGGTCTACAATCAGAGACTCTTTTCCTCAAGCCATCCGCGGGCAAGCGTGGAGCAGCTATGAAGCAAAAGCATCAAGCGCTATGGGAGGACCCCTGGTGGCAGCTGCTTTGCAGCGCACAAAGGGCCAACGACTCGACAGAAACACGTTTGACGTGCGGAGCCTTCTGACGCTTCGGGGTTTAGCTAGGGTTGGGTGTTCAGGGTTTAGGGTTTAGGGCTTCAGATGTGGGATTCCGCGGCGGTTTCTGGGGCGTCTCTTGTACCGGAAATCGTTCGGTGCAGGGGGTTTCTAGCATTTGGTTTCAGGGCCCAACGGCCACATCACTGCACAAAGCTGCTCGACTCCTTCCACAGCTGCAGGCAGCCAATCGTCAGCACGAAGATGGCGAAGGACTTCCGCAGCACGTGCTGCGGAACAAACTCGGTCAAGTAGCCGCCCAGGAAGCTTCCGAGCACAGCGCTGGCCGAAACAATCAGGGTCAGTTTGATGTCGATGGCGACGTGGCTCGCGTGGCCAATGTATCCTGCCAGGCACTTCCTTGGTTGCTTTTGTGTGGTTACATCTGAATAGGCTTCAGGCAGGGCAGGGCTTAGGGTTATTTATTTACTTTATTTGTTTTTGGCCGGGGGGGGGGCCTTTCCAAGCTCCGAATGAAGTCAAACCTAAATAAACCCTAAACCCTAAACCCTCAACCCTCAACCCTAAACCCTAAACCAAGTCTCATTGCTATGACCATGAGGGAGGTGCCAATGGCTGATGACATTGGCAAGCCGGCCATCAGTGTGAGCGCGGGCACGACGAGGAAGCCACCGCCAGCTCCCACCATTCCCGTGACCAGGCCGACAACGAAACCTTCGGTTTAGGGTTTGGGGTTTAGGGTTTAGGGTTTAGGCTCGAGGGTTTAGGGTTTAGGGTTTAGGGTTTAGGGTTTAGGGTTTAGGGTTTAGGGTTTAGGGTTTGGGGCCAACAACGAAACCTTCGGCGAGGATGTGCCAAAGAGGCAGCTCGGCCAATTTGATGCCATTGTCACTGTCGTCCGAGTTCTCCACCTCTACGCATCAGGAAAAACCATTTTTCCATATTCAGCACCCCAAACCCTAAACCCTAAACCCTAAATCCTAAACCCTAAACCCTAAGCCCAGGGATTCGGAGCCTCCTTCTTGTCTGCCGGCCCTTCCTCGTTAGAGTCGTGCGCAATGGGCTGGTAGGCAGACGGGGGCCTGTTTTTGGGGGGCCGCAGTGGCGCCCCTACAGCAACGGCTTAAGGTTTAGGGTTTAGGGTTTAGGGTTTAGGGTTTAGGGTTTAGGGTTTAGGGTTTCGGGTTTAGGGTTTAGGGTTTAGGGTTTAAGGTTTAGGGTTGAGGGTTTAGGGTTTGGGGTTGGGGGTTTGGGGTTTAGGGTTCAGGGTTTAGGGTTGAGGGTGTTAGGGTGCTAGTGGCTAAAGCCCTAGGCCCCTAACACCCTAAAGGGGCGGAATGACCCACTGCCTCGTGTCCTTGTACAACATGGCCATCGCAGTTGCGAGCGTCATAATTGCAAAGAGGCACAGCCTGGGTTCTTCCAAAACCTAAGGTTTGGGGTTTAGGGTTTAGGGTTTAGGGTTTAGGGTTTAGGGTTTAGGGTTTAGGGTTTAGGGTTTAGGGTTTAGGGTTTCGGGTTTAGGGTTTAGGTTTAGGGTTTCGGGTTTCGGGTTTCGGGTTTCGGGTTTCGGGTTTCGGGTTTCGGGTTTACATTTTTGGGAAAGTAAACTACCCCCCCAAAAAGCCGGCCAAGCAAAAGAGGGGAAATGAGGGTAGTGCCGGGCGGGCATAGTGCCGGGCGGGCGTCACACGCCCAACCAAAAAACAGACCTAACACCTCTAACAAACCTCAATCACCAACTATATAACACCTGCACTTGAAGGCACCCGAGCGGCAGCACATGCTCAGGAACAAAACCCGCAAGGATCCCGCCCACGTACGCGCCCACCATCCCGGCCACGCCGAAAACGCCGCCCACTCTCCAGTCCACGTTGCCGGCGAAAGCGTGCGCAATCAGCGCAAAGGAACCTGTCACTGGCAACCTTAACCAATAGAACCATAATAGCCATGAAGCATCATTAACCATCACAGTGACAGTGACCGTAAACCAAACCAGCACAACCCACAACAACAACCCTCGAGCACCAACAAACCCGACAGCAAAAATCGCTAAACCGTGTGAAGCCCCGAAGCCCCAAGATGACTCCCTCCTGGCCGAGGGCTTAGGGTTTACGATTTAGGGTTTAGGGCGCTTCTAGGGTCGGTTAAAGCCGACACGCGCCCGAAAGTGAAAGAAAGGCATTGTCTACACTCAGGATGAGTCTTTCGGGTAGTCTGTAGTATGAAGATGATCTGGTGATTTTTTCTAGGCTCGTGCGTGACACCCTACACCCTGAGAAACCCTAACCCAAGAACTTGGCATCTCAGTTTTTGGGTCTTTTTACCCCCCTTGAACCCCTCTTACCTAAACCTAAAACCCTAAACCCTAAACCCCTAACCCCCAAACCCTAAACCCAGACGCTCTAACTCAAGGACATCCAAAATCCAAGGAGCTGGTGATGCCAACGACAACGAGAGACATCGCGATGGCTTCTTTGGCCTCCACGTTGAGCAAGTACACCTGGCCAGTCCCGCAAATTAAGGTTTAGGGTTTAGGGTTTAGGGTTTAGGGTTTAGGGTTTAGGGTTTGGGGTTTAGGGTTTAGAAGAAGGGACCCTTAATCTTCTGCCACTATACTAGCCACTCTGTGTGCCTTGTATAGTTCCTCTATACCTAAGTAGCCCAAATGTAGCCGCTAAGGTCCCTTCTACATTCCCTCGTGTAGTTACTTTGCCAAACCATCTCGGATCCTGGGGCCCTCAACCCCAAAACCTTGATTAATAGACCCTTAACGATTCACCCTAAACCCTAAACCCTAAACCCTAAACCCTAAACCCTAAACCCTAAACCCTAATCCCCAAACCCTAAATCCTAAACCCTAGTCATTAATAACCCCAAAGCCCCAAATCAACCCCCTAAACCTCGCACGCAAACCCAAAGCCCTAACACCTCAAACCACAGTCCCTTCACAAACTCTCAACAAACGTTGAGTTTGGGGTTTGAGGTCTCAGGGTTTAGGGTTACAGGGTTTTAGGGTTTTAGGGCTTTGGTTTTTAGGGGGCTTAGGACTTTTAAGGTTCTAGGGTGTAGGGTTCAGGGTCTAGGGTTGAGGGTTTTAGGGCTCAGGGCTAAATCGGGTGAAACCCCTGAACCCCAAACCCTAAACCCTGAACCCCAAACCCCAAGCGCTAAACCCTAAACCCTGAACCCGAAACCCTGAACCCCAAACCCCAAACCCGCACCAGAATGGGCAAGGTCAGTATGGAGCCGCCGCTGCCAAGGAGGCCCAGCGAGAGGCCAATCAAGAAGCAGAGTGAGATGGCTGTTACCTGAAAGACTCGGGAGAGTTCAGGGTTTAGGGTTTAGGGTTTGGGGTTTAGGGTTTAGGGTTTAGGGTTTAGGGTTTAGAAATTTAGGGTTTAGGGTTTCGGGTGTAGGGTGCAGGGTTTAAGGGTGGGGGATAATCTGGGGTTTCGTGTTTCAGGGATTGGGGGTGACAGCCCCCTCGTTCCTGTACGCGGTTGCTTTCGGGCTGACAAGCACTTATGGATCAAAAGGGCTGAATGCTAGCTTGACTTGTGCTTCCCTACGGCTATCTAGGGATAATTTAAGACACTGAAGGGGGTAGTAGGGAAGGCCCCTGGTGACACTAAGGGAGGCTTTTCTGCAGCCTTTGGTGCGTACATGTGCTGCGCCACGAACCCCACGAGGCCGCCCATCGAAGCAGCTGCCATCGCGAGCTCTCAGGCGAACGGAGTGTCCCTCCAAGCTTGGCTGTTGAAGAGCTTAGCGCGTAATCGCCCTAAACCCTTACCCTAAACCGAAAAAAAATGAAACCCTCAACCCTAAACCGTCTGAGGGTTGAAAGACTTCAGGCTTTTTGGCTTCATCTGGGACCTCTGATTGTTGGAATTCGAGCAGGTTTGTGTTGAAGTTCATAAACCCTAAACCCTATTATAACCCTAAACCCTGAAACCCTACGACCCTCCAACCCTAAACCCTAAACACCTGTTTGTATTGGGGGGGAGCCTTGATGAAATGGCGGCGTGGGCTGCGGGTGTCGAACATTGCCGGCCGAACCCGGTTTAGGGTTTAGGGTTTAGGGCTTAGGGTTTAGGGCTTAGGGTTTAGGGTTTAGGGTTTAGGGTTTAGGGTTTAGGCTTTAGGCTTTAGGGTTTAGGCTTTAGGGTTTAGGCTTTAGGGTTTAGGCTTTCGGGTTTAGGGTTCAGGGTTTAGGATCTAGACCTCAACCCGAAACCCACATGTGCAGGGTGTAGGGTCGAGGGCTTAGGGTTTTGGGGTTTGACTCTCAAGGGTTTGGATCCTGAGCTAAAGCTTATGGGGGGTGTTTCAGGGGCTGCGGGCTTCAAGCCAAAGGCATCCTCCATTCGTTTTGGGGGTTGAGGTTTTGCTTTAGGGTTTTAGGGTTTAGGGTTGAGGGTTTTAGGTATGGGGCTTTGGGCTCGAGGGTTTTTGGAGTTTTGGGCCTTTTCAGCATAAGGCCCTGAAGCCCTAAACCCTAAAAACCCCAAACCCTGAACCCTAAACCCTAAGCCCCAAACATAAGAGCCAGGACTTAAGGGTAGATTTTCAGAGGATTTCGGATGAAGGCCCTGAAGCCCTAAGCCCCCAAACAGAAGAGCCCCAACGCCTCCTTGTCGCGGTGCTTGTCTCGGTGGCGGTGTCGCTTGGATCGCGAGTCCCCCGATCTGCCAGCAAGGAAGGCACGGAGGGGGCGAAGGGCGCGAGGATGGCCTCCCAAACCCGGAACCCTGAACCCTAAACCCTGAACCCCTAACCCTAAACCCTAAACCCTAAACCCTAAACCCTAAACCCTAAACCCTAAACCCTAAACCCCCCCTCTCTTCCCTGCACTCCCCCGCAAGGGCCATTCGGAGCCTGCCGCTCTTCGAAGACCTCGAGTCGGACTTCTCGGACTGGCCGGACCTGGCACTAATCCCCTCCCCCTAATATTAAACCGGGTTTAGGGTTTAGGGTTTAGGGTTTAGGGTTTAGGGTCTAGGGTTTAGGGTTTAGGGTTTAGGGTTTAGGGTTTAGGGTTTAGGGTTTAGAGTTTAGGGTTTAGGTTAAACCCCCCCTACCCCCTAATATTAAAAACCCCCAATATACTATAATATAACATGATTGGGGGGTATTTAATATTGGGGGTAGGGGGGGGGGTTTAATATTAGGGGGAGGGGATTACCCAGGTCGACTTCTACGCCCTGAACCATTGGAGCTTAGTGCTTCTGCTTTTAGGGTTGGAGCTCTTTGGGGTTTCCGCTGGTTTCTTAGGGGGTTTGGAGGGTTCCTTCCTTTAGGGTTTTAGGCTCTTGGGGTTTTAGGGTTCTTGGGGCTTTTGGGATTTAGAGTTTGGGGTTTGGGGTTTGGGGTTCATGGTCTCCCTTGCTGAAAGAAAATCCGCATCAGAAGCTCCAGAACCACTGAAGCGTCACATAAGAACCCGAGCTACGCCGCTAAACTACCATATGGATATTTCTACATATGGAGGGAGGATATATAGATATAGATGCAGAGATAGATTTTTAAAAAAAATCAATAGACAGATAGTATAGATAGAATTGTATAGAAGTCACAATACAGACAACACCGTACAACACAACTACAATTACGATTGCCATTGCCATGACAACTACAAGCACAATACAACACAACTTGAAAGACTTTTCCCTGTCCCGCCTTCTGGTTGTGGAGGGCGACATGGAGTCGCTAATTAGTTTGCATGGTTGTCCAGTGCACATGCCCTCATGACCATGCTCACTCTGGCACATTGCAACATGAAAGCATAAGAATGGCTGAATCACCTGAAAACATGAAACTGCCTTGCGAGGAAAACTTTTTCTAATCTTGCTGGCTCAGGGGCCCAGCTTTTTTCGCAGGTACAGGGTCAAGCGTCCTTGACCCCTTCCCACCTCTGGCAATAGCTTCATTGCGTGCAGTATGCCAAAGGTGCTGCACGCCCCTGCATGAAATCAGAAAGAAATCAAAACGGAGAGCCGAGAAAAACGAAAACCTTCATGGATCCGACGTGAAGTGCAACAAATCGCATGTACAGCAGAATAACACAAACAGGCCCCAGAGGGGCCATCAAGCAGCATAATCAGTCATTTTGCGCCGCCAAGACATGATGAGCAGTGCAGTGAACGGAATCTTGCCTAGCTTCAGCCACGCAAGAAACAACAGAATCCAACCATCATGGGTCAGAACGGCACGTACAAGATCTGGGTAGAACGTGAGAGAAGGCGGCTGAATTGGAGAAGCAGAAGAGCGAAGATTCAAACTCACATGTTGAAGTCCAGATTTCTGAGTAATCGTCTGTCAGAATCTTCAAGGTTGAAGGAATTTCGAATGGAAAAGGCTGCAACTGTAATTCTATCGCCAACCCAGGGGCACGACTCATGCCAGACATGCGGGTGAAAGGTGGTGCCTGCGAGAGACAGATTCCACATGTGTCCCACATGTTGACCATCCACTGAGTAGAAATCGCCGTTTTCAGCTGCAGTCCATATACCACCTCCATAGAATTGAGAACATGGCAAGAGAATGTTTCTGCTGTACCGACTGTTGTTCAAATCCTTGTGGACACTCATGGCAATATTTCGTTGAAGCATAAAACTGGTAAAACGTTCATGCGTACAGCTTCGAATGTACCTGCAGATCATCAAGGTGCTTTAACATTCTTCCGTAAGCCGCACAAGGGACCTTGTCTGTAAGCACCGCTGTAAAATATGAAAGCTCCAGGTCTTGTACCATTTGCCTGTCTTCGAAGCTGCGCAGATGGCAGCTGATCACACAGCGTTGTCCAAATACTCATAATAACCTGACCGTTGCGTACCATTTTGGCTGCAAGCTCTTCGGAGGGATGGTCTGGCTCCCCGATCCACTCAGGAATATCTGCACAGATTTCAAGGGGATACGGAATGCGGACTTGTTTATCCGCCACATAGGGTCGGAGTACCGTGTGTTCTTTGGATCGCCTTTTCTTTGCACCAGCCCACACTCTGAATAACGGAATCTTGTATCTCCCTTTTCGCATGGAAGAGCAGAGCGCAAAACTGCAATGCAGCAGACACTCAAGGCAACAGAAATCACTGAGCCAAAAAGATTACAAACGACGTTCCTTTAAGAAGTAAGACAAATTGCTGCGACCGAGAACATGGGCTGCAAGCGACATCGTAAAGCTGGTGAGCAACTGAACGCATGCTCCTAGGCAATATGCACAGACAGCGAACTGTTTTTTGGCCCCTGTGCGATCCACGGCGGAATGTAGCATTCAAAATGTGGACAATGGGCCATCCAGGAGTGTTTGCAAAGACATGAGCTAAAGCGGAAGACAACCTAGCCAAGAAGACCTCATTACGTCTAATCTTCAATGGCCCACGACGTCCAGAACACTGCTGCACCTGTCAAGATGCTACGGGAAGACCTAAACATCCACCGGCCGTCCTGGCCGTGAACCAAATCACACATGTGTCCGAATGTCTGGTCCGAAGCAACGGCCGCTTTGGAATGCACATGCTGGCGTACGAATGTCCACCCCACCGCTGCGCATGTCCGGGTATCAGACTGCTTGCCTCCGAAACGGCGGGCGTTTACCATGGACGCACACATAGCTGCAAGGTGATCTGGCATGGAGCCGTCGAGCTTTGGCTGCCTGATGGCCGATGGGGGCCAAGCCATTCTTCCATAGAATCCCGAGGACAGCAACCATTTTCTGTCAGCACGATCGTAATACGATGGTCGGACGACTCTCTGGCTAATGATTGAGGATAAGTCCTGCGGCACTGTGTTGTGCGCAAAAGGCACGCTAAAGCACGTCCCTGGATCATCTGGCAAGTCCGTTGTCAACACAAGGAACACTCCAACCGGAGCTTCATGATCACCGGACGCCGAGGCCCCGGTGGTGGGATCTGTCTCGGAGGGAAACAGCCAGTACGCACCTTTCCCGGTCTGCAAGTCTTCACGACCAAACGGCCGCAAATACGAGACAGCAGAAAGCACACGAGCAAGATTCTTGATTTGTTTCACTGGGGCCGGACCCATGCCGAAAGATCCAAGTGCGTCACTCCAGCTGAAATTTGCATGAGCGTCGGCACCTGCTAGAAGAGTCGCCATCCATCTCTCCTGCAAATCAAGAGGTCCTGCGTTCAGTACGGGACAATCATAGCTGTTGAGCTCAGCGGCGGACTTGATTCGATTCAGGTCACGCATCAGGGCCGAACGAAAATGCAGCAGGAGACGTTCAAAATCATGCCACTGCTTCTTGTTGTCCTTCGTATTTTCCGTAGGATTGAACCCATACAAGTGCATTCCGGCCATGGTTTTGATACAGAAGAACTGCGGCCACATCATGTGTTGCACGTCCGGGCGATCATTCAACTTCGACGTGTCCATAAACTTGACCCACATTTCCGATCCAGTGCTAGGCTTGATGCAAGTCCACTCATCGGATGGAGGAGGAATCTCTGGTCCATCTGGAACAACGTAAGCGTCAGCACTGGCATTCGACACAAGAAGCTGGATTGACGTGCTTGGCTCATCTCTTACCGCTGGACGACGTCGGGGGAGAGGTGGGCACGACCGTAACACCGGGCTCCGGGACCTGTTGTCCTGCCTGTGAGGAAGGGCCAGTCGCCCAATGAGACGATTGGCCATTGCTTCATCATGCACCTGAATCGTGTTGTAGCCTTCCGTCAACGTCAGAAAAGGAGTGGGTGGAGTCGGCGGGGGCGCACGAGGCAAAGGCACCATAGCATCTGAGCGTTCTGACGCATCAGGAAGGCCCGGGGTGCGGCGAAGAGGAGGAGGAGACGCTCTGCGTCTTCCTTCATCAGGACGGGCCCAGGCTGGAAGCTGTTCCGGAGGGGTCAAAGCACGGTTAACCTCCTGCGCCACTCGTCGACGAATGTACATCTCCACCGACGAACTGATGGGGCCCGGTGGGCCTGAAGACTTTGGAAACAAATTGAGGCTGTCATCCGTGGGAGCCCCCATGATCGCAGCTGGGCAACGAAAATAGGTATAAGTTACGAACGCTACAACAGCGCTCGAGCAACATAGAGAATTCAAGACATGTCTGACAAGCACGCAAACCCTCAAACAGCACAAGCAAGCAAATCAAGCTTGAGAGCTCAATTTATTTACTCATCCGCTGAGTGCTGGAGTATATCGAACTGGTGTCGAACACGTCTGAGAATTGGCGCCATCATCTTGGGATCAAAGGCTTGTTTGACGTAAGACTGTACCAGCTGAATCAGATCGTCATCACATTGCGTCTTGGGCCAGGAAGCCCGGGCGACCAGATGGGCTCTGGAGCGAAAGCTGCTCAAGAGTGTACGTGAGTTGGCAGCAGACAACGGATGTAGAAACTTCCAAGTCTCAACGGGCTGCACATACTTGATGCGCAGCTGCTGCAGGTCCACGTGGAACCCCAAAAAGAGGTTTCCCTCTTCATACTCCAATACAATGGGTGGAACACACACGTCCTGATGCAGAAAAGCCTGGATGGCAGCAACATTCCTGTGACGATCAGAAATCAGGCTGAGGCGATTGTCCACATATCGAACAACAAGGCCATACGTTGGCAATCGAACAGAATTGAGCAGGCAATGACTGAAATACATGCGTTCATACAGACTGACCACTGCGTGACATGCAGCCGGAGAGAAATGGCTTCCCATTGGCGCACCTCGCAACTGTTCAATAGCCTGTCCTCCGACCACGAAAAGTGAGAACTTGAAAGACACTTTTACAGCTTCCAGAAAGAGATCCATCGGGACTGCCATTCGTTTGTCATGGAGCAAGCAATGGCGTCCGCGAATCGTCTTCATGACAGAAAGATTGTCCGCAAGATCCACCGTGACAACAACTCCTTTCAGGGCGTCGTCGAGATCTTCATCAGCGACGTCATAGAAGCGACACAGCAGAATACGAAACGTGATCATGAACCGTTCAAAAGGAATACTGATAAAGAACCCAGACAGATCTTGATTGTGCATGGTCAGATCCGTGCACAACCCATCATCAGCTGGATGCTGTTTCTCGAACAACTGGTGAAGATCTTGCCACAACATGATTGCGTCGTTGTACGATCTCGTATGCGGACAAACCTGAGCAACAAGCATCTCGGTGACACGTGCCATGACAACCAGGAATTGACGAGCTGGATGCGCTGCAAAACTAACAATGGGTCTGCCCGCTTTCCAGTCCTTCTTGAATTTGGGCAAAATGTATGCCCAGGAAACGCGCGCGCGCTTCGAGATTTAAATCGAAATGGAAAGGCTTCCAGGAGTTTCGGAGGCACGGCTTGTTCCATCTGCGACATGATCAGTGATTCATTCAGCGACACAGGCTGAAATACCGAAGCTGCCGTAAAAGTGTTTTGCAACATCATCCAGTACTTGACTGGACAGAACACATGAGCATGAGAGCCTTCATGATCTCGAACATGCCAAATGAGGCCTGGAGTGTATCGCTGTAGTTCACGCACCAGGTCAACTGTCCAACGGGAGCCAAGGTGTTGCATGTGTAACTTCCAGGCTGCATCCCACACTCGTCGTATGTCATCTGTCGGATAATGCACCAGTTCATGATGAGAGATCCATTCACGAACGGCCGTATGAAAGGTCTTCCAATGATCCTTCGCTGACATGAACACAGTATTGCCACAACTGGACTGAGCTACCTGTCCAAGAAATTCCGGCAAGTGGAATAATGTTGCAGAAGATGCGACATGACCTTGGACAACCGTCAACTGTGGATGTCGGCGTAAGATCTCAGCACACCTACATACAATTCCTGCCGTGGTCGGATCAACATGTGGGTCCCATTGCTGCAAGACCTGCCTATACGAGAACAGCACGTCCTTGATCTTGGGGTGGCTTTTGGCCAAAAGAGCAGTGGACGGAATATGGTAAGGCAGGAGTCTATCCGACGAGACATCCAAGATGTCCCCCAACAGTCCGCGCGTCAACTTTTTGAAATCTGACTCCGGAAGCAAGAATGGTGTCATCAAGGGGCGACACGTACCAGGGCATCGAAGCTGTCGAAACTTCAGCGCCGTGTTGAGTCTCGACCGACAGATTGTCTCATAAAACGGGTCTCCCAAATGCGTGGCCATGCGGAACAGTCTGTATAGAAGATCCGAATCCACTCGATTGCTGCGTAAGTACTTCTGAGCGAGAAAGGAATTGAGTCCATCTGAAGCAAGGTCAAAAAGAATCTGGTAACAATAGACGATCGACTGTACCACATGAACGGACCTGAAAACTGATGGCGTGAGCCCTGTTAGACGAAGGTTGCGACGTCTGAACCGCCGAAAATCTCTCCAGGATGTAACAAATCTGCGCACACACCTTACAGGATCCGAGTTGGCAACCTGAGCATGTTTGGCCCTCACCAACATCCGAACCCAGGGGGCATTGAGTTTGGGCTGAAGAAGGTTAATGAACGTTTGCTCAATAGTGTGCAAACATGCTGCTTGCGGCACCTGCATGATAAGCAACGGAATAGCCACATGATAATTGGACCGACGATGGTGCCAAAACAGGCTAAGTTCCCCACACACTGACTTGCCTGCTCGAATTTGCTTGAACTTCCCCCATCGCGTGCGCTCTCGTTCACCCAGAGACTGAGTGGTGGAACCGACATACACAAACTGCTTCATCTCGGGCTGTAGGAAAATACGACAATAGACAACCGACTTGGTTGAGAAAAACTGCCATGTGTAGCTGGAGCACTTCAGGCGAAGCTGTGAGATCAGTGGCAACTGTACAAGCCCAAACTCACACGCCAACAAAAGTAACTTGCCTCTGACCCAAATGACTACATCCATCAACTGCTGTCCGAACATCATGGGAGTTTCGAAGATACTCTGGAAAAATAAATGTGCATTCCGAAGCAAGTCCACGTCACCTCGGTGCTGGTGCCACCAACCTTTCGGTTGGTGACGGCTTCGAAATTTCTCCCTGTCGTCCAGAACAGTTTGTAGTCAAGCCACTAGTATTGTGCCGACCGCCAGAATGCGCAACAGCGAACCGGCCTTGAGTTTGGCGACGTCCCGTATCGGGACGCCCCAGTTGGCAACAGTCTGGTCAAGGCCTGCCTGCTCTGTGGCTGTAAGATCTGAGTGCCATTTTTGGACATGCGCTGTCCAAGTCGCCAACTTAGTGCGATTGGCTTTGCTTAACGTGAGTCCCTCAATCCATGCGCTGACCTCTTTGTCATTTTTGCATGTTTTCCAAGCGCGAGTAAGGAAGCTCTTCTTGGCATCGTCCACGTTGCGAACAGTGTGCGAGACATGTGAAGCCGTTCCATACTCCAACTTGTTGTCGACCTGCACGGGCGGAACGGACACTGGTTGCGACTCACTGACGACCTGTGCCTCACCGGAGCTTGTCGGGGCTTTGCCCTTCTGAAAGGCTTGCATGAGTCCAGATTTGGCCTGCTGTGATGGTCCACGAAGCATAAGAGTCGATCCGTCGGGCCCTTTCACAACAGACGGGGCCGATGCAGGTTTAGGTTCGGGTGGTTCTACTTCAATAGGCAAGCCACATCCACCATCATTTGACCCCGACATCGGACTGTTGTTCAACATACCAGCCTCATTGCTTTCCGACTTTGTAGGCGTGACACTCTCAAACCGGGCCAGCTGCTGTTGAAGCAACTTAATTTGATTCTCCATTGCAGCTTTCTGAGGATCCGCTTCGTCCTGAGGATACAATCCCAACATGAAGTCAACAACCTTCGTAGTAAGCGTCTGCGTGGCTTGAACTCTTGCATCAGAGAGATTGCTCCCTGACGAGCTGGTCTGACCACCATGCACTGCCCGAGCAAGCTCATCCAAGTCAACATCCGCTTCACGCAATTTTGCGAAGAGGGAATGACAAAATACCACCTCCGCCATGGATCGAAAACCTGCAAAGAATGTGGGCTTTCCTTCGGCAACATGACGGATCCAATAGGAGTTCCATCCCTGGTACAACACCGAATGCAACGGGATAGCATGGGAAGGGCAACCATCAATTTGTTTCTTTGCCGTCCACTCAGTCTTCTTCACCCATCGTGCCAGATTCAGACCTGCAATGGTGCGAGCGTCCAGATAATTGGGATTCTGAGAAAACTCCGCCGGCAACATGGGGCCGAAAGTCCTGTGCTGAGTCTGACCTCCGGAGCCTGCGTACCCGGGTCCTGGACGGGTTGCATACATCCCGACGGCTTGCGGAGCAACTGGTACATTCGGGACTCTGGCTGCACATTGGTTCGGGCTCCATTCCGGGACCTGCGGGGCCACTGGTACATTCATGATTCGAGCTACACATGGGTTCGGGTTCCACGACAAGTTCTGTGGCTGCACCACAGTCGGGCGTGTCTGAGGGCGGTGCATCGTGCCCATGGGATTTTGCCAACTGATGGGTGGCGGTGGAACTGTGGAGCTCCAGTGACTCCGGCGGGGACTGCGTTCACGGTCCATGGCAGCAACAGAAGCCAAGCGTAAAATAAGCACAACACAACTGTACAGGTGATCTCCACTTTGATCTCCAAAAGCTGATTTCCGAACATGGCCGTTGATTTCCACTGTGATCTCCACTTGAACATGTGTCGCAATCCTACCTGATTTCCAGATCTGCTAACACAAGCACCCCGGTGGGCCGGCATATTTCGCCGAAAAGCGACAAGGCCCTCATGAGGGAGCCCTTGTCGTACACAACTTGAAAGACTTTTCCCTGTCCCGCCTTCTGGTTGTGGAGGGCGACATGGAGTCGCTAATTAGTTTGCATGGTTGTCCAGTGCACATGCCCTCATGACCATGCTCACTCTGGCACATTGCAACATGAAAGCATAAGAATGGCTGAATCACCTGAAAACATGAAACTGCCTTGCGAGGAAAACTTTTTCTAATCTTGCTGGCTCAGGGGCCCAGCTTTGTTCGCAGGTACAGGGTCAAGCGTCCTTGACCCCTTCCCACCTCTGGCAATAGCTTCATTGCGTGCAGTATGCCAAAGGTGCTGCACGCCCCTGCATGAAATCAGAAAGAAATCAAAACGGAGAGCCGAGAAAAACGAAAACCTTCATGGATCCGACGTGAAGTGCAACAAATCGCATGTACAGCAGAATAACACAAACACAAAAAAAAACATGTGCAGTACAATAGCACAAGCTCAATGTTCGCAACAGACAATACTAAATACGATCTTGCAAAAGGACGCAGGTTTCAATTCTGGACCCTAAAGGATCATGCTATCAGGAAGAGAATGTCCATGCCCTACTCTGCCCTTAGTACCGGGCCATCAAGCCAGGGGCTCGTATCGGAACCTGTAAGAGATACCCTAAACCCTAAACCCTAAACCCTAAACCCTAATGGACTACGCATGTTCAAAGGGCAACGATCCCTGCTCTCCGGAATTTCAGGGCATGCTACGTAGTCAGGGGCTCATGCGAAGTTGGATTCTGATGGTCGGCAGCCCCACAAGGACACCCCATATATACAGCCACCGGAGATCCCTAATGAGCTTACCACAACCTTGATATGAACCGGAAGCCCTTTACCCAAATCCTTACGCCCTCAGCTCTCAACCCTGAACCCCCTAAACCCCCTAAACCCTAAACCCTGAACCTTACACCCTACACCCTACGTACACCCTGCACCCTGGACCTTACACCCTAAACCCTAAACCCCCAACCCTAAACCCTAAACCCTAAACCCTTCACTTCACCATAAGAACCCAGCCTTTTCGACTTCTTCCCGTGCGAAGAGCGAGACCTGCCCCCACGAGAAGATCGAGGTGCAGGGTTCTAGAATGGGGTTTCGGGTTGTCGGGTTGTAGTGTTTTGGGCTTAGGGCTGAGGGCTTAGGGCTTAAGGCTTAGGGCTGAGGGCTTAGGGCTTAGGGCTTAGGGCTTCGGGCTTCGGGCTTGGGGCTTGGGGCTTCGGGCTTAGGGCTTAGGGCTTAGGGGTCCCTTTTAAGGCTGATGAATCTGAGGCTCCAAGCCTCTAGGTTGGGTTTAGGGTTTAGGGTCTAAGTCTTGGTTTTAGGGTTTAAGGCGTAGGCCTTAGGGTTTAGGGTTTAGGGTTGAGGGTTGCGGGTTGTGGGTTTAGGGTTTAGGGTTTAGGGTTCAGGGTTTAGGGTTTAGGGTTTAGGGTTTAGGGCGTAGGGTTTAGGGTTTAGGGTTTAGGGTTTAGGGTTTAGGGTTTAGGGTTTAGGATTAGGTTTTCGGGTTTAGAGTTTAGGGCTTCGGGTTTAGGGTTTAGAGTTTAGGGTTTATGGTGTAGGTTTTAAGATAAGATCGTCTTCAGCCAAGGCCCGACTCTTTTCATGATGGCTTCAACAGGACTCGGGGATTCCCCCAAGAAAGGGTTTAGAGTTTAGGGTGTAGGATTTCAGGTTCGGGTTTGGGGGTTAAGGTTTGGGTTTGGGGCTTAGGGTTTAGGGCCAGGGCTTAGGGTGAGTTTCAACCGCCAATATTCTAACAAAGGCTCCAAGGAACCCTTAATCCCCAATCCCTCATCGCAACTTCGAGTCAGGGCACGAGGATCGCGATTTGGAGCTCCCGCGACCTCGTGTTTTGGCCTTGCCTGGGCTGGAGGGGCGCTTGGGGTTTAGGGGGTAGGGTGTAGGGTTTGGAGCTTAGGGTTTAGGGTTTAGGGTTTAGGGTCTAGGGTTTAGGGTTTGGGGTTTAGGGTTTAGGGTTTGGGGTTTCGGGTTTCGGGTTTCGGGTTTCGGGGTTCGGGGTTCGGGGTCACGCGGGGTTTATTTGGCTGTGGGGGGGGTGTACCCCCCAAAGAAAGGGTTGTTCAGTGCCCTCTGTAGTCCTGGGCCTGAAGGGCGGGTGGGGCCTAAGCAGGGTGGGGTTAGGGTTTAGGGTTTAGGGTTGAGGGCTTAGGGTTTTTTGGGCTAGGGTTTAGCAGGGTTTAGTTTAGGAGGCCCGTATAGAGCTGGTGCAAGAAGACATAAATGGAACGCCAAAATCTTGGAGTTAACTATGACCATTACTCACGACCATTACTTCGGGGCGAGAGCAGGTGTGGGGGAACGTGAAATCAAATCTAAGCTGCTAGAAGTGTCGCAAAACAGACAAACTTGGTCTTCGGTTCTTCAGCGTGTCCGTAGTTCTTGGTGTCGCCCACGGGATGCCGCTGGTGCCCCACGGCAATGGAAAAAAAAGGGTTTAGTTTAGGGTATGGGGTGAAATAGGGAAACACCTACAGCCCTACAGCCTGAGGCCTGGGGATACGGGCCGGGTGAGGAGCTCCGAGGGAGGTTCAGAGTTTTGGCGGGGCTTCGTCGTATAAGTGGAAAGAACTAAACCCCCAAGTAGCCCTAAGCCAGAATAGTGGACCCCTTATATAGTCCCCATGTGTACCTAAGAAACCCTAACCCTTACCCCTAAGAGCTAAACCCTAAACCCCAAACCCTGAACCCTAAACCTAATGCGTCCCGGCTGCTTCGCTTCTTCTCGTGGTGCTTCTTCCGCGAGCTCTTCCGTCGGCCCCTGCAAGGGCAACAAGCCTAACTCTCAACAGTAAGACTTGAAATTGGTCTAGGGCTCAGGGTTCAGTGTTTCTGGTTCAGGGTTTGGGTTTTTGGGTTTTGGGTTTGGGGTTTCGGGTTTAGTGTTTGATCGGAACTCAACCCTACAGGAATCCCGAGACAAGACAGCCCCCCCGCCCCCCAAGAAAAGTCCTTAAGACTCTGGGCCCCAATGAACCCTAAATCCCCCCAAAACCCCCAAAACCCTCAACCCTCAACCCTGAACCCCTCAACCCCTAAACCCCCTAAACCACCTCCAAAACTGCACCCAAGAACCCTGAACCCCTAACCCTAAACCCTAAACCCTGAACCCCTAAGCCAAAGGAATCCGCAGAACCCTGACACCCACAGTCCGACACCAGAGCCCTCGACAAGAGCCCAAAACCTTTCAGGGTTCAGGGTTCAGGGTTTAGGGTTTAGGGTTTAGGGTTTGGGGTTGAGGGTTTAGGGTTTAGGGTTCAGGGTTTAGGGCCCCCAGAACCCTAGAAGGCCCTCGAGCCCTCAACCAGCCAACGCTGTCCTGGTGCGCGCACGGCCCTTGCCCTCGATGGTGTAGCGACTCCACCCTGCGCGGTTTCTGAAGGAAGAACTACTTGACTCAGGAGAAACCTAGGAATAAAAATGGTGCCCTTTTGGTTTGACGGGGATTATAAGGGAACCCCAACCCTTAAGAAAGGAAATAAGGGCCGACTCCGGGTCCTAGACTAAGCATTTCAGGGTTTAGGAGACTGGGTGTTCAGGATTCAGGGCTTTAGGGGTTTAGGGGTTTAGGGGTTTAGGGGTTTAGGGGTTTAGGGGTTTAGGGATTTAGGGGTTTAGGGATTTAGGGGTTTAGGGGTTTAGGGGTTTAGGGGTTTCGGGGTTTGGGGGTTTAGGGGTTTAGGGGTTTAGGGGTTTAGGGGTTTAGGGCTTTAGGGCTTTAGGGCTTTAGGGCTTTAGGGCTTTTGGGCTTTTGGGCTTTAGGGCTTTAGGGCTTTAGGCTTTAGGGGTTTGGGTTTCGAGGCTTTACGATTGAGGGCTTAGGGTATTAGGGTGGGATTCAGAGTTTTAGGGTTTCGAAGTATAGGGTTTCAGGGTTTGGGGTTTCGGGTCTAGGGTTTAGGGTTTAGGGGTAAAGGGTTTAGGGTTTAGGGTTTAGGGTTTAGGGTTTAGGGTTCAGGGTTTAGGGTCTCGGAGTTTCGGGCTCACGGTCTCGGAGTTTCGGGCGTATCGGATCTTAAGGGTGCCGGGCTTGGTAGTGGCTTCGTGAGCCCTTAAGCCCTTAAGCCCTTAAGCCCTTAAGCCCTTAAGCCCTTAAGCCCTTAAGCCCTTAAGCCCTTAAGCCCCTAAACCCTTAAACCCCGAAACCCCCAAACCCCCAAACCCTAAACCCCTTAAACCCCTAAACCCCTAAACCCCCTAAACCCCCTGAAATTACAAACCCCCGAAGGGCTTCAGGGTCCAACTTCCAGAGCCCAGGCGCCGCTGTCATTGCTGGCAGAGCGGCTCTTGCTGCGCTCGCCTGAGGGGGAGCGCACGTCTACGGCAGTCTGGCCATGCAAGGCTTGCCCTGCCCCGGTTTAGGGTTTAGGGCTTGAGGTTTAGGGCTTAGGGATTTAGGGAGTTAGAGATTTAGGGTTTAGAGTTTAGGGTTTAGGGTTTGCTTGACATAGCGCAGAAGCTGTCAAGGTTGGGATGCAGACTAGCTTCGAGAGCCTCGCGAAATGCGAAGAGCAGCTATGGCGCGATTGCGGAGGGCCGCCAAACACGTTGATCCCACCCTACGTAGTCTCAGGCGGCAAAACCACCCGAACCAATTCCTTTCAGGGTTTGGGCCTAAACTCAAGTCAATTGCCTACTTCCAAGAAAAACTTCCCAAACAACTCCCAGCCAACACGCAAAACAACCCAAAACGGCAGATCTGCAGCTGGCCCCTGGCCCAGGGGCGGCCTACGCCTTGAGTGGTTTAGGGTTTCGGGTTTATGCTTAGGGTTTAAGAAGGCTTAGAGGGTTTCAGTGGTTAGGGGTTTCGGCTTTAGTTATAGGGCTTTCGGGGTTCGGCCGGTGGGGCGTAGTGCCTTGCACGCTGGCAACCCAAGCCCCGAAACCTAAGCCCCCCAAGCGAGGCTATAAACCCAGACCCTAAACCCAGGAACTAGCCCTAAACCCTAAACCTTAAACCCTAAACCCTAAACACTAACCGTAAACCCTGTTTTGGGTCTGAAGACCCCTGAAGTCGCCCAACCCCTTAACTCTGCACACTGAACCAGGGCTCAGGGTTGAGGGGAGAGGGTGTTTAGGGTTCAGGGTTTCGGGTTCAGGGCTTAAGGTTTAGGGCTTAGGGTTTAGGGCAACAGGGCTTAGGGCTCCCTAACCCCTAAAACGTTTTGCCGTGCGAGGCTGCCCGAGACCCCGGCGGCTGGGCTTGCGCGTCTCCTGGAGTGGCACAGCGGATCGCGCCGGAAAGGCTTGCTGGGTTTAGTCTAGGTTTGGACGAGCCCTATGAACCGCCCCCAAAACCCAAACCCTAAACCGTACACCCTAACCCCCCTGCAAAGAAATAAAAGCTCCGAAGCAAAAAAACCCACTCCCACTCCGCCTCGCACCTTTGAGCCCCAACACACAAGCACCCAATCCCCAAGTTCATGCAACCCTTAGCCCATTAGTAAAACGCTGAACCCCTAACCCTGGAACCCGAAACCCCTAAACCCCAAACCCCAAACCCTGAACCCTAAACCCCAAACCCTAAACCCTAAACCCCAAACCCTAAACCCTAAACCCCAAACCCTAAACCGGGATCCTCCTCAGGTGCTTTGGCTGGAGCCGCTGCCTCCCCGCTGCGGGCTCAGGCTTCGAGTTTAGGGTTTAGGGTTTAGGGTTTAGGGTTTAGGGTTTAGGGTTTAGGGTTGAGGGTTGAGGGTTGAGGGTTCAGGGTTCAGGGTTTAGGGTTTAGAGGGGGGGGATTTGTAAATTGAAAAAAAAAGATTGAGACTCTATGAGGGCTTGTAGTTAATGAAAGCTCCCGCTAACCCCCTATGCCCTGTACTCCTAAACCCCTAAACTTCAAGCCCCTAAACCCTAAACCCTAAACCCTAAACCCTAAACCCTAAACCCTAAACCCTAAACCCTAAGCCGTCAACCTGAAACCCTCGATCAATTGATCTCAACGTAGATCAATAAGCCCCAAACCTCGAACCTGACTGACTTTGGGGGGGGCCTGTTGCAAACAAGGGGGGGCGGAGGGGGCTTCGGAGCAACCCTAAACCTTCAACCCTTAAATTCTGAAGGCCCATACTTCAGAAGGCAAGGGACCATACTAAGGGACTGTGTAACTACCCTTGGAATAAAACCCTGAACCCTAAACCCTAAACCCTAAACCCTAAACCACAAACCCTAAACCCTAAACCCTAAACCCCAAACCCTAAACGGGAATTTCGGGGCGACCGACAGGGGTCCCATGGCAGGTTCTTGTCATAGTGTGGCTCCCGATCTCCAGGGCAAAAGGCCTTTGTTGGGGCGTTACTGGGCTAACCCTAAACCCTAAACCCTAAACCCTAAACCCTAAAACCCTAAAGGGTTTAGAGGTTTACGGTTCTTGTAGACATTCGAGCGCACGCTGTCGCAGTCCGCAGCAAGGGTGTGAATGAACAGATAGACCGCGTGAGTGCGGGCCGGGACGGCTCCATGTTTAGGGTTTAGGGTTTAGGGTTTAGGGTTTAGGGTTAGGGGTTAGGGTTTAGGGTTTGAGGGTTTAAGGGTTTAAGGGTTTAAGGGCTTAAGGGCTTAAGGGCTTAAGGGCTTCAGGGCTCAAGGGTTTGAGGGTGTGAGGGTGTAAGGCTTTAGGGTGCGCAAGGTAACCTCTGGTCTGACTGCGAGAGCTTGCTCGAATTTCCACAATGCTGCCACGGACCCAACCACCCCGACCCCTAAACCCCTAAACTCTGAACCCTAAAACCCCTAAAACCTAAACCCAAAAGCCCCTAAATGCGAAACGAGCGGAAACCTATTTTCTCCCACTCTTGCTTGTGCCTATAAAGGGCTTCGGTAAAGACACCTCTATACAACTGTACAAGGTACATGCTTTACCTTGAAAGTGGTGTGGGGTCAGCAACTTTCGCACACCCTCCTTAAAGCATGTGCCTCTTGCTGCTCCCCCGTTGGTCGCGCACTGGGCTCAAGATGCGTCTCTCAATCTTGCCGTTAAAGCAATACTTGCAAACGGTGATACCTTGGACATCCGTGGCTTGGATCAGTCCGTGACACTTTGGATTTGCATGGAACTTTCGTCCCTTGCGACTCACATAGAGCTTTGCATCTGGGCACTTTTCACCCATGTAGATGAACACCTCTCGGTTTCCAAAATGGATACACTTACAGAGGCATGTGCACACCATCACTGAGAGCGTGATGATGTTCAGAACCACACTGACTACTACGAAGAGCAACCATTGGGTTCCGGTGTCACCCGGTCCATGAGGAATGAGATCCATGAGGTGACTCCCTCAGAGGCCGGTGTCTAGTAACAGCACTGACAAATTGCTTTATGTTCAGCTTTGAGCACTGCTGCGGCTGCCACTTTTTCCAAATGTTGACTGCTCCGATGGTTTGCATGCTGTTCTTTGTAACGTGCTTGTCAAGTCCTTGCTTGTCCAAGGTAACCAACCCGAGCATTTCGCGTGCTTCTTCCATCTCCTTTCCGGTTGTTAAGTGCTTCGTCAAAGCATTCGATGGGTTTTCCGTTCCTTTGATTTTCTGCACGATCACTCTTTTCTCTTTCACAAGCTCTTGAATGTAGAAATGTCCCAGATCAACATGTCGCATTTTCCCAACACCAATCTCCGTGCAACTTGGATGGCTGCACTACTGTCACAAAACAGTCTTGGCACATCGATCGTCATGCCAAAGTCTTCCACACCTAAGTTCCGCACGAAAACTAGGTCCTGGGCGCACTGAGTTAGGGCTCTGACTTCTGCCTCTCCTGAGCTGGTCGCAGGAGTTCCTTGCTGACTCCGAGCAGAAGTTTCAACCACGGTCCCTCCTAGGACTATTGCCTGCCCACTGGTGCTCTTGCGGTCTTCTCTGTCACCTGCCCAGTCACTGTCGCAATACCCCTGCAGCGGAATCCCTGCAGCTGGTTCGAAGTCTTTACTCATCTTTGTCACATGTCCCACGTGCATGGTTCCCCTGAGATATCTACCTAACGTCTTGAGGTTTTGCATGTCACATTCCCTGGGATTCCTAATCCGCTTTGCAAGCTCCTTGCATGCGAATTTGATGTCGGGTCGATCCTGCGACAGGTAGGTAGCACTGCCTACACAGCTAGCGTAGATTTCTTTGGCTCTGCCCTCCAGAAGCTTGTCATCCTTTAGGTTGAGCTTCTTTCCCGGCACGGGGCTTGGCTTGGCGGCCTCTAGTCCTAGCATCCTAAGGATGTCAGTGGTATGCTTTTCGTTCGGCATCGTAACCACAGCTCCCTCCACCAGGATCTTCTTTCTGCCAAGAAATTCACTCGTGCTACTGCTTGCTGCGCCTGGCCATTCAAGCTCACCCACTTTTAGCTTGCATCCGCACTTCGGCAGCTGAACTTTCAGCAGGTCATCCAGCAACTCTGCCGGTCCACAAACGTCGAAATCGTCTATGTGGTGGATCAAAACGATCCCTGTTCGCACGCATCGAAAGACACATGCGTCTAGTGTCCCCCTGTGAAACTGATACACTCCCTTCGGGAGTTCCTTGGTCAAAATGGTTTCCAGACGATCTCTGTACTGCGCTGCCGCTGACTGCCTTCCATACAGATTTCCATCGACCTGCCATAGCACGCTTTCTTTCGGCACGTTCTTCATCTGCTCTTGCATTTCTGGGCTTGCTTTTGCGTACCACTCATCGTATTCCTCCAGCCATTCCTTTGGCGGCTTCATCATCACTGGTTGTCCTTTTGCATCTCCACCATCTTTCTAAACCTCCAACAACTTCCTCGAGGTGGCGTGTGGCGTTGGACAGAAATTTGAAGGGTACTCTGAGTTGTGCTTCTCATTTGCTTCTTGCTTCTTCTTGAAGTCCTGGCATGTGAGTCGTGACTTTGCCACTCCTTCAGTGACCTTGTCAACCCACTTGTGGCCGAACACCGTCAGGTCCTTTGTTATCTGTCTCCCATCTCTCGGTGTGAAGGCACCGTACACCTCATTTAGCTTTCTCAGCTCTTCCTTTCTCGCTCTCCTCAACTCTTTCTCGTCAATCTGCAACGTGTCCAGGTAGTCCATGATGTTGCTCACCATTGTCTCGTTGAAGCAATCTTTGTTTTGCTTCAGCCACTTCTTGTACACACCCACATCTTCTTTTGGTAGGAGAGCACTACCCTCCAGCCAGGTCCCATGGTTACTAACACTGTCCACCATGTTCTGCGCTACATCTCCCGGCACGCTTGGCACATACATGCTCGTGTCGAGACTGTCTGTGCCCATGCTGGCATCAGGCGTAGCGATGTTGAACTGCTGCGTGCTAGCTGCAGCATTCCCGGTGTCACCCGGCGGCCGACTGGCCTGCGCAGGCTCCACCCTGGCTCTCTTGCTCTCTGGCTCTTGCAATGCAGCTTTCTCACTTTCCTTTCCTGCATCGTCTGCTGCTCTTGGCGCCGGCATTGGCACCACTATCGTCTCTGGCTTGAAGTCGTAGGTCTCTGCAGGCTCCAACTCCGGAACTGCTACACCCTTGCTCTCAGACCGTTCTTGCACTACCTTGCTCGTTGCAATGCCCAAGTACCTGTTCCAAGGCACTCCCTTTGCCTTGTTGAGTATCGCCGCTTCATATCTTGCACTTTCTGGTAACCTCCTCACAGTGCGGCATGTCTGCACCCCTGACTCTGTAAGCACCAAGTGCTCATCTCCTGCAGCATTCTTTCCGGCATACACTCCGCGAATCCATCTTGGAGCTGCCTTGTCCTTTTGCTTCGGAAATTTTGCTAAGGACACCTGTCCGAAAGTCATCATCTCACCCACATAGTCAAACCCATTGATGACTCTGAACGCCGTTGTCTTCGAATGGTTGATGTGAAACCGTGCCACCGTCCACGCACTGTGTCGCACAATCCATGGAAACAAGACACTGTCACAGCCAATCTTGACTTTGTATTTCTCTGACACCTCCGCAAGCCATGTGCGAATCTTGCCTGCCAGAAAACCGTTGACCATCTCTCCATCTGCTAAGGACTGTGAACTGTATCGCGGTGATCTCCGCAGAGTAACGGTGTCACCCATTTCCTTCTGCACCCTTTCATATATCTTGTTCAGAGCGCTTTCTTGGTCGAAATGGATCACTACCTTGTCCCACTTCAGATCCTTGATCCAGCTGATCATTGCCTTGCTTGCGTAGTCCACGCTGGCTTTGGATGGCAACACCAGCGCGAAAGGGTACTGGCTCTCTTTGCAAATTGCAGTGAGAACGGTTACCAAACCAGCCCGCTTCTTTTCTCCTTCTTCTTTGTTCACTTCCTTGCCTTCTCCAGAAAAGAACATGTAGTCGGAGTAGATCACATGCTCCTTGGGGTCTTCCTTGACCCTCCTGTGCTGCTTGCTCTTACCTTGCCCCATCACACAAACAGGGCACCAACTCTCGAAGTTGGCATGGTGGAGGTTGTGTTCTTCCACCTCCTGAGCCGACGGCTCCTTCGGCGCCTTGATGACCTTGCTCTGGTCTCTTTCTCTGTCCTCATCTATCATCAGCCGATCCACTGCGTCTTCGTCGTCTTCCACAACTCCTCCATGAGCTTCCTCTCCTTGCGCAATCTCTTCTTCATATGCCTCGTCTAGTCCTTGCATCCATTCGCCTTCATAGTCTGGCTGCTCTTCCTCAGCAGCTGCTTCTTCTCTTTCTGGCTTCAGCCTGAACCAGGTTTCTCCCAGCCAAGCATGCTTCATATCCCTCATTGCAAAGCGCTTGTCTTCCCACGCACTCCGATCTTCCTTCTGGGACCCATCCTCCTCGAAGATCATCTTGGTGAGCCTTCCACTCTCCAGTCTCTCCAAGGGCACAGGAAGATCCTTGATCTTTGGCGCAAACAAACGCTTTCTTGGGCTGTTGTGCCATCCTTCACTTCTCTCTTCCAGCGGTCTTCCTCTCGGGGACCCAGATCCGGCTTGTCGGCAATGGGTGCGACCCTCCTGCCTCCTGCAGGCGCGCTCCCTTCGCCCACGTCCATCACTTTCAAGTACCACCTTTTCCCATGAAGCTCAAGTGGTACGGTGTCACCCGCGCTGGTCTCGAGGAAACACCCTCCTGGGCTGAAAACCACCTTGTGTCCTCTCGCTACCAAGCTGTGAACCGAAACTAGGCTCTCAGCAGCATCCGTTACGGTCATTTCTACTGCTCCTTTGGTTTGTCCGAACATGACCTGAGGGTACTGCTTTCCATACACCTTAAGCGGCGTCCCTTGCACGCTGAACAAAGGCTTCGCTTTCGAGGCATCCACCTGTGCTTCAAAGTCTCCTACTTTTGCTACACTCTCACAGGCTCCTGAGTCGATGAGAAGATACCGGTTGCCTAGCTGTTTTGCAGTCACAGCTGCGACGGAACTCTCACTCACAGTGAATATCACATCTTCATCACTCCACTTGACAACACGCTGCGAACCTTCAAACACAGAACCAATCCCTGCACCGTTGCCACTCCGGTCTTCTGGGGCAGTCGATGCACCCGTCCCACCGGTCTCGGTGTAGGCCTCGTTGTCGACTGCTCCAACCTTCCACCAGCAGTCTGCAGCAATGTGACCATGCCTGTGGCATATATGGCACTGCTTTCCAGCGTGCGGATTGTTGTTCTTTCCTTTCCCATCGTTTTGCTTTCCTTTGCCTCCTTTGTTGTTGTTGCCTGCTCCTTTTCCCTTGTCGGTTTTGCCTTTCTTCCCATCCTTACCTTTCCCTTTGCCGTTGTTGTCCCACCTGTTGTTGTTCCACTTCTCCTTCCATTTGTCCTTTCCTTTGTTGCTCCAGTTGTCCTTTCCTTTGTCGCCCCAGTGGTCCTTTCCTTTCTTCCATTCTCCTTTCCCTTTGCCTTTGTCTCCTTTTACTCCGCCGATGTCCATAGGCCTCACTCCCCCATCATCATGCTCAGCAGTTTTGTTTGAGGCTTTGGGCATCCCGAACTGTGAACCTTGAGGCCTTTTCCACAGGTTTCTATTGATCAGATACTGTTCGATGTACTCTCTTATCTTGTCGTATCCGTTCAACACATCACTGTGCATGAAGATGCTTTGCTGCAACTCTTTCGGTGCAATATGAGCCAAAATGGACACTTTCTCATCTTCTGAAAACGCTGTGTTGTACGTACGCTCAAACTCTCGAAGTTCAGCTTCCCACTGGTGAAGCGCTGTGCTCCACTGTGCAATGTCACTCGGAAACGAGGGATTTGCTAAGTGCCTGCGCCACACCCAGGCCTTAGTCCGATGCGCTGGCTCGCTCAGAAGCACCAATCTTCTCCAAACCTCAAAACCGTTGGCATCACGCAACCCTTGTCCTATGACGTTCATCGTTGGCTCGGGACAGTACTGTATCAGAAACGTGTACATGGCTTTCGACAGTCTACTTTCTTCGGGGCTAAATTTGGCTTCATCAATCGGGTTCTTACTGGCTCCATGCTTTTCCAACAACTCTGGGTAACGCTCATGCACTGTGCTTGACCATGCCATGAAAACATGTTTGAACTTTTCCCATTCTTCTTTCTTGCCGTTAAACGTGTGCGGTTTTGGAACATGACTGGGGTGTATCAGTTCTTTCTCTTTTCTTTCGGCACTCCCTGTGGCTTGTCCTGCTGCTGCTGCTGCTGACTGTGCTTGAAGTGCTCGTTCTGCTACATCAAGTCTAGCTTCGGCCTCTGCTGTCTTCTTTTGTTGCTCTTCAAAGGCAGCGTTGGCTCGTTGCATACCAAGTGTTAGGTCCTGCACTCTACGGGCTAACTCTTCTAGAGTTGCCATTGAAACTACCAAAAAAAAAACTCAAACACACACAAACTGTACAGGCTTCACGAACACAGAAGCGGTGCCGAGTTCGGCAGCAGCCTGCTTGAGCTGCTCCCTCACACTCGGCGGTGTCACCCGCACTTCAGCGGTTCCAACCCGCTCCTGAGGACTGGTACCAAGAGCCTTGCCACTGGTGCCAGCCTCCCGTTCCTCTCGCTCTGTACCACTCGTTCCAAAGCCGATCTCGCTCCCGATCTTGGCGGCTCCACTGCTCGTCACTCCTCTCTTCGTTCTCTGTGTCCTCCTCTGTGACTCTGTTGTCAAAGCTCGGCGTCACCTGCCGTCGCCAGCCCACAGAGGAGGCCCGACTTTCGAGGTCCCAGCTCGAGGCGGCCCCCGCACTCGAGCGCCCCACCGATGGGCGGGCTTTGGCACGCGGAGGCTCAGATGGCTCCGGCGGCGGCTGCTTGTGCCGCTTTGCTTGTTCCCGCCTTTCACGTGCCCTGTCGGCCTTCTTCAAGGCAGACTGCACACCGTTCGGATCCTCCGGGTCAGTGCTGTGCTCCTCTGAGCTTTCACTTTCCCAATCCGAGGTGTTTCCGGACTGCTCCTCTTTCTTGACCTCCTGCTTGATCTCGCCTTCACTTTCGGAGTCCCACAGTGATGTTGGCTGGTGTGTGAGCGTAACCACTGAAGCCCCGCTTCTTGCTGGCTCGGTGTGTCCCGCCTCTGTAGGCGGTATCACCCGCGCAGCACTGCTGGGTTCTTCTCGCTCCTCGCTGGCCTCTGCCTCGTCCGAGGAAGCTGCTGTGCCGCGCCTGCTGGTCCTTGCCAGCCGCCCAAGCCCTTCTTGCACCCTCTGACCAGCTACCTTCTGCAAGTAGCTCCTTCTAGCTTGTCGTCCAGGGTTCTGCGCTGCGATTGTGCCAGCCCTGGGTACTGGGCCCTCAAGCGCTCCCACTGTCCACTGTCACTGGTGGGAGGTAACTCTTCAGGAACCCAGGCGTCCTCGTCTAACCACTCACCAAACCCAAGGTTGCTGCCTTCGCTGGGCCTGGCTTGTAGTCTGAGCGCGTCCTCTGCAGACAAGTCTCCAGGCACAGGAGCCTCTTGCGGTTCCCTGTCCCTGGACTCCGACCTGTTCAGCGCTCGCTCTGCTCGTCTGGCAAAGCCTCGTAGGATCCTTCGCTCCTCTGCTTCTGCACTACGATGACGACTGCGAGGTGCGTCGGCTTCTCTCCCTTTTCTAACACCCTTCTTGGTCTTTCCAGACCCCTTTCCTTTTGCTCCACCTTTTCCCGTGGTGCCTTCTTCGCGACTGCTACTGGCGCAGTTCGCTTCTGTCTTGCTTCTTTAACGAGGGTTTTGGCAAGACTCCCTCGAGTCCGGCAGGCTTTGTCGCCCTGCCTGCGGTGTCACCCGCTGCTGCTTCACACGCAGCTAACGGTATCACCCGTTGTTCACGAGCTCCGGTCGACTGGCTTCTGAACCAGGAGCTCCGCTACCATGCGAAACGAGCGGAAACCTATTTTCTCCCACTCTTGCTTGTGCCTATAAAGGGCTTCGGTAAAGACACCTCTATACAACTGTACAAGGTACATGCTTTACCTAGAAAGTGGTGTGGGGTCAGCAACTTTCGCCCACTAAACCCTAAACCCTAAATCCCTAAATCCCTAAACCCAAAAACCCCTAAACCCTCTAAACCCTAAACCCTGACACACAGACCCCCCAAGCCCAAGTACTTCCGTGAAACCTTGTCTCCCACCTTCTCCTTGCTCGGACTTCGGGACGGCGAGCCCTTGGAGGCGGGTTTAGGGTTGAGGGGTTGAGGGGTTAGGGGTTTAGGGTTTAGGGGTTGGGGTTTAGGGTTTGGGGTTTAGGGTTTAGGGTTTAGGGTTTGAGGTTTAGGGTTTAGGGTTTAGGGGGGTCAACACTTAGAGTTTGAAGGGGCTTTAAGGGCGTAATCTTCAACCCATAGATAACCCCTGTATGTACCTTATATAGTCCCTGTGTGCCGAAGTAGCCCCTAAGTAACCCCTAAATAACCTCCAAGGTCCCTCAGAAGGGCCTCTCCTTTAGTCCCTTGATTTAGGGTTCCCGAAACCCCAGCCCCGGCCCCCAACCCCTCCATCCTCTCACCCCTGAACCTCAACCTTTGGACTCCTCCCCAAAACCCCAGCACCCCAACACCCTAAACCCTTCAAACCCTAAACCCTTCAAACCCTGAACCCTTCAAACCCTAAACCCTTCAAACCCTGAACCCTTCAAACCCTGAACCCTTCAAACCCTGAACCCTTCAAACCCTAAACCCTTCAAACCCTGAACCCTGCAAACCCCCGCCTCGGGTGCCGGAGGTGAAAAATTCCTAGGGGGAGCCACTGAAAACAGGGCGAAGGGTCCACTGGTAGCTTTTTTGTCTGAAGCCCTGACCCCCGTGACTCGCAAGAAAGGCCAGTGGCTCAGGGTGCTTATTAACCAGCTGTACCTGTACTTATAACCCAAATTATATCCATATTAGGGCACTTTAGGGGCTTATAAGTTGCTTATAAGTGGGTTATAAGCACAGTTATAGTTGGTTAACAAGTACCCTGAACCTCCAAGCAAGGTTCCGACTCCAAATCCGACACCCTCGGTGCCTCGGCGGTCTCGTCACGCTCGACGATCAACGCACGTCCCCACCTGGGCTGCTGGTGTGGGGTTGGGGGGGGTTTCGGATTTTTAGGGTTTAGGGTTTAGGGTATAGGGTATAGGGTTCAGGCTTGAGGGTTTAGGGTGAAATCTTAGGCTTAGTTCGCATTCACGGGAACCTAGGGTAGTGAGGTATCCCACGCAGAAAACAAAAGGCTACAACCCTAAACCCTAAAACCTGGAGCCTAAGCCCCCAAACCCCGAAAAAGGCGCCAGAGTTCGGCCCAGGCGCGGCTTGGTGAAGTTCAGCGCCTTTACGCACTGCTTGGCCTGGTCGAAGCACTTGGTGGTCTAGGGGCCTAGGATTTAGGGATTTAGGGATTTAGGGATTTAGGGATTTAGCGGGAGTTAGGGATTTAGGGTCTTAGGTGGTCTCCGGGTTAGCAAAAAGCATACTCGGCTCTTTGCTTACCCTAAACTCTCCACTCTACAGAAAGCAAAGAGCAAGGTCGGCTCTTTGCTGTCTCTAACACCTCTTTGCCCGTAGATTCATCAGCATGAAAGCTCCAAATCTCGCGCTTTCCAACTTCCTTACCCAAAGGACCCCTCTGGCCGAATAAGAAATCTTTCCAGCCTCTCACCAGAAGTCCAACTTTCTTATCTCAACCCGGCGATTTAAGACATATCTGAGACTCTGGTTTGAGGGTTGTGTAGGGTGAGGCTCTAGGCGGCTTCTCAGGCTTTTTGTATGCCTCGCTTCGCCTCCCAAGGAAATTGAAGGAAAGCCTCGGATTGGGGCTTTTAGGGTTTGGGGCTTAGGGCTTTTGAGAGAGGTGTCCCTCAAAAAGCTAGAGGCTACCTACCTCGACCTCTTGTAAAGGCTGCCGGTTTCCAGTTCTTAGTTGAAGAGGCGCTAGGGGGTTTAGGGTTTAGGGTTTAGGGATCAAGTTCATTAAGGCTGAGGGCATCTTCCCGGGCGGCGGCAGAAAATCGCGTGCATGGGGGGTGGCGGCATATGGCGCACGGCGTGAGCATCGACAACGAGAACGGGCAACTTGCGGACTGTTATGGTGTTTCGGACGACGGGCTCAACTCCCGACTTTCATGTCCATTACCCTAAACCCTAAACCCTAAACCCTAAACCCTAAACCCTAAACCCTAAACCCTAAACCCCCAATTTGGGAAGACCCGAGAGGATGACCAACCGACCGCCTTCAGGGGCCAAGGGTTTCAGGGGCCAGCGGCCCGGGATGGAGACTTCAGAGGCCTCAGGGGAGCTCGGTGTAGGGTTGAGGGTTGAGGGTTGAGGGTTTAGGGTTGAGGGTTTAGGGTTTAGGGTTTAGGGTTTAGGGTTTAGGGTTTAGGGTTTAGGGTTTAGGGTATAGGGTTTAGGGTTCACTCTTCAGGATTTGGGAAACTTATGCCCAGAAAAGCCCCAAAAAACTAACAGCCAACACAAAGCCAGAGCCTGAACCCGAAACCAGAAACCGCACATCCTCAGCGAAGAGCGAACAGCGCCTCCTTCGAACTCGACATGAGCACGATGGCGTAGCCTTTCGCGACACCTCCGAGGTCAGGGTTTCAAGGTTTAGGCTTTATTTCGGCTTGGTAGCCCAGAAACCATATTATAGTAGGGTACCCTCTTTGGGGGTTGGCCACTTTACAAGGAACCTTGAACCACAAAACGGGTAAAAGGGCACCAGCGGGCTACCAATCAAGCCTGGTCCACACCCATGGCGTTCAACTGATGAGAAGAGGCATGAAAACTAGCGAAACAAGCCCTCGCCACCAATGTCGCTGAGGCGTGCCTTTGATTCCGAAGGCCCTTGACGCCCTCATGTGAATGAGGGCATGAGAACCCTGAGCCCTGAAACCCTTGTGTCCCCCTATGTCCCCCTGTACAAAATACCCCTAAACCCTAAGCCCGAAAGGCCCTGGGGGCCGATACGATAGTAGGGGTACCTCATTGAAATCCTTATGATCAGGGAATCCTACTATTTGGCCCCTTCTTTTCCTAAACCCCCTAAAGGATGAACCACTAAACAGAAGATCCAAAGAACAACTTACAGCTCGGAGGCCTTCCACACCGAGGGTTTTGACAGGGTTTTGGGGCGAATTGTGCTTGGGGTTTGTTGGGGTTCAGGGGTGCAGGGGTGCAGGGGTGTATGGGCTAAGGGTTAGGGTTTCGGGGTGTAGTTTGGGTGTTCGTGTTCAGGGTTTACTGCAAGGATGTAAGGGGACCAATATCCTGGAGCCCGTCATCTTATGCCCTAAACCCCTAGAGCCCTTCAATACGAATCAGTACCCTACACCCTAAACCCTAATCCCTAAATGAGGTCTTTCAGGGAGGCAGAGGTACCATGGGAACCTGAAGGAAGCTGAGGAGCACCCATAAGTATTTGGGAACTGTAAACCCCTCTTTCTCAAGGACATTGGACATTGGGTTTAGGGTTTAGGATTTAGGGGTTAGAGTTTAGGGTTACCTGAAGGCCCTTCAACCCTAGGCCCCACACCCTACACGTTCCGAAAGTGAAAATCCCTCAACCCTAGCCCCCCCAAAACCCTAAACCCTGAACCCTGCAACCTCACAAACCCTAACCCTGAACCCTGAACTCCACTCTAAACCCTAAACCCTAAACCCTAAACCCTAAACCCTAGATCCTAAACCCTCAAACCCTAAACCCTAAACCCGAACTCCAAAAGCCGGGCTCCCAGACTGGAGCCCTCCTCGGTGGTCATCTCGACGTCCACCACCGTGCCATGCCTCGGGTCGAGGGTTCAGGGTTGGGGGTTTGAGGGTTTAGGGCTTGGGGTTTAGGGTTTGGGGTTGAGGGTTTAAGGTTTAGGGTTTAAGGTTTAGGGTTTAGGGTTTAGGGTTTAGGGTTTAGGGGTTGAGGGTTTGAGGGTTTGAGGGTTTGAGGGTTTGAGGGTTTGAGGGCTTGAGGGCTTGAGGGCTTGAGGGCTTGAGGGCTTGAGGGCTTGAGGGCTTGAGGGCTTGAGGGCTTGAGGGCTTGAGGGCTTGAGGGCTTGAGGGCTTGAGGGCTTGAGGGCTTGAGGGCTTGAGGGCTTGAGGGCTTGAGGGTGTGAGGGTTTGAGGGTTTAGGGCTTGAGGCCCTTGATTTATCCGGGTATTGGTAATTGTGGACGAAGGCTATGTGGTTTAAGCGTGTGACGTGCTGAAACGAATTACCTGGCAGACACTGCAGGCAACCAGTACATCAAGCGCATTCCCCTACGTCTTCCCTGAACTTGTATTCGGTCCCTGTAGCCTGACGTCATGAAGGCCACATTGTATGCGGCATGATTTTTGGGTGATCTTGGGGCACTGAATACTGACCGCGCTGTCTGTAGCTCTTAAGAACATGATGTAGCGGGCATCTATGCGCGGCAGGTTTTGGGGCATTCAAGTCAGAACGCCCAATCTCTAAAGTAGCGACGGTACATAGGTGCCGTGGAAAAACCTGAGCTTGTTCCTTTGAGACATGTAGCTACTACCCTCATCCCTAACCC